AAGTTCTAACAAAATAATTAATTATTATCTTTATAAGAAAATTATATTTTTAAACCAAATATAAATTACTTCGTTATTGTACATAAATTAAATTATAAAAATTGAATTAAAAAATTACACAATAAAATGAGGAATTTTAAATAGTTAATTTGATACTAATATCGATATATTTTTGTCAAATTTTTATGATATCTTCAAACATATATTTTATTCAAAAATAAAAACACCATCGCTTTCTCAAAATCACATAAAGTCATATTATAACATCGACTGAGATAACGAATAAAATAAAATATTAAAATCACGATGTATCTCGCTGCATTGCGCGAGTACGCTTCTAGTATTATAAAACAATCGATAAAAATTCTTAAAACTCATTTTTTTAAGTATGAAATACTGTTTATTAATGCATATTACTTAAAATTTAAGATTACAAGTATATTGTGCGTAAGTACAACTTATTAAATCTCTATTTTTGAAATCGTATAACTAACTGCAGAACAGATAAACATAATCAAATATAGGATAAACATCTCTAACATATAAATATAAAAAATTTAAAATATAATTAGGCTAATTATTGAGTTCTAACATAATAATTATCTTTATAAAAATTATATTGTTAAACCAAAAATAAATCACTCCGTTATTAGACCTAAATGAAATTAGAATTAAAAAACTTGTACAAAAAAATAAGAGCTTTTAAATAGTTAATTTGATATTAAAATTTAGATAATTTTTCAAAATTTCATGATATCTTCAAAAAAAGTAAAAACATTATATTTCTCAAAACCACATAAACCGTATTATATCAAAATAGACAAAAAATAAAACGAAACATTAAAACGTAAATGTATTTCGCTACATTGTACGAGTACCCTTCTAGTTATATTTAAATACTTAGCTTCATAAATGATGCTCTTGCTAAATTAATAATTAAGATAATATAACCGTAATAAACTAAGCTAAAATAAATTATAATGCTTGCAATTTTGCAACTATGAAGATAGACAAGTTTCAGAGTCTTCGATTATAATCGATTAAGGAAACAAAATATGCTATCGGACGGTTTGGATATCATTCTTTTTTAACACCCTATTTTATTATAGGTTATATGTCAAATTCTCGGTAGAAATATTATCTCGAAAAATAGGGTGTTAATTTTGACTCATAACTCATTCATCAAGTCGATTCAATGAATATCAACCTTAAAAGAAAATATCAAGTTGTGCAAGTAACCCTTAATTGTTAAAATCAAAGTGTCCCTTAATGCATTCGAAGGGTAAAACCACTTATGTAGCCACATGTTTTGCACACCATCACTACATCCATCATGATCCATGCCTAAGGATCATATGATGGTTGATCACCCATATATATATACATTAATACATGCTTATATGTATATGCTATAGAGAGAGAGAGAGAGAGAGAGATTTAGAGATGGGTTTTAGTGAGAAGCAAGAAGCATTGGTGAAGGAATCATGGGGGATAATGAAAGAAGACATTCCTAGTCTCAGTCTCTATCTCTACATACAGTAAGTTTTTCAATACGTAAATCATCAACGTTGCGTCTGATTTCTCATAATCTAAATTGGTCCAAGGGTTTTTCGTGAGACCCATAAGACCAGTTTATGTTCACCGATCAATTTTATAAGCTAATGATTTAATGGTCTAAAGTTGCACGGTGGCAATTTTATGATTATTGAGAAGTCTCGTGACAATTTTGTGATTATGAATGTTCAGATTGTAGATCTAATCTAAGGATTGAGAATTGGTTTTACGGATGTCACGAAAAACCCTTGGTCTCACCATGATCCCAAGTCTAAAATTTAATTACATCTTGAGAGTATAACACATTTATATATATATGCGCAGGATATTGGACATATTCCCGGAGGCAAAAGGATTATTTTCATTTCTAAAAGATACGGATGAAATTCCCCAAAATAACCCCAAGCTCAAGTTCCATGCCGTCAAAGTTTTCAAGATGGTAACCATATCTATACCTATACCTATACCTATATTTATAATAAATAACACATTCATGATGAATATATGAAAGTGTTATTATCATGAATCACGCATTCATGAATATGGACATGTTATTCATCATGAATCATACATTCATAATGAATAACACATCTATATTCTTGATGAATATGTCATTTATCGCGCTGTCAGCCGTTTAAGTTCCTAATGAACCTACCCCTCTATATCTATACGTTGTTTTTCTTAATTTTTTTTTTGCTTATCATACATGCAGTTAATTAATTAATTAATGTGGTTGTTAATTATTTAAGTCGTGAACTGAATGAAGGTTTGTGAGTCTGCAATTCAACTGAGGGAGAAAGGAGAAGTTGTAATATCTGGTTCCACCCTAAAATCTCTGGGATCTGTTCATCTTCAGAAAGGAATTGCTGATCCTCACTTTGAGGTATTATTGATTAAGTATTCTGATCCATAATCATATCATATGTTGATTAATTCGTTTGTGGATTGAAATGAAGGTGGTGAAGGAGGCATTGCTGAGAACAGTAGAAAAGGCAGTCGGAGAGAAATGGAGTGAAGACATGAAGCTTGCTTGGTCTGAAGCTTATGATCAATTGGCTGCTACCATTAAGACTCAAATGACCAAAGAAGCTGCAGAAACCCACCTGCCTAATTAACCATTAGTTATATAATATTCATATATGAATATGAGAGAGAGATGTTCATATGGATATGTAATAAAAACGTCTTTGAATCACCGTCTTAATGTATCTTCATGTCTGCAACTTTATCTTTATCATCGGTTTTCTAAACATTTATTTTCTTTTACTGGTAATAAATGCTTATACAGTAAGAAATGATGGTTTTTAACTTAACAATTTTACCATGTCATACTAATTAACCAAGAATCCTAATCGGTAACTAAATAGCCGTGGTAACTCTTACATAGTTAGCGTTTATCAGCTAAGAAACGCTTATACGATACTATCTTGATGATCAAGAATCTTACCTTATAGTGTAATTAAAGATGGTGGTAACTTTCACCTGATCAATACTTACCAGATAAGAAACGTTAAAATAACTTATCTTAAACCAAAATACGTTCTACAGTATAATGTATGAAAGTAGCGATTTAGAAAGGCTTGAATTTGCATTGAAATGATGAAATAAATGGGCACGTGATGAGTGATGAGTATGAGGTTTGGTGTGGAACCCGATACGTGCATAAAAACGAATATAAACGTAGAGTAATTAGTATAAGAAATAGTTGTAGAACCCCATTCCCTTTTTAAGCCCAAATGTCCCTTGATGAAGTTAAAAGGCCAAAACCACTTGTATTATGATCCCATTTTAATTTACCATTCACACCAAATTTACAGCCTTATCCCTATGCCTATGATTGGTATATATTCATTTCACACCAATAATATACATACATACATCTCCCTCCTCCTATTCTCTCTCTCTCTCTCTCTCTATATATATATATATGTGTGTGTGTGTGGATTGTAGAGAGAGATAGAGAATGGAGGTAGAGAGAGAGATGGGTTTGAGTGAGAAAGAGAGAGAGATAGGATTCAGTGAAGAACAGGAGAGATTAGTGAAGGAATCATGGGAGATAATGAAGGAAAACATTCCTGCTCTCAGTCTCCATTTCTTTACACAGTAAGTTCATTTTTGACATCTGTTGTTTAACTATTTTTAAACATAAATATTTGTCTACTGGTTTTTGTTTTCGTCAGCTAACTTATCAGCTAACAATTAACTTATCAAACTAGTTTGTCAAATATAACCATAAACTTTGGTAATAAACGAGAACCGGATTTGATCCTGCCTGAAAAATGTCACATCATATTGTTGTTCTTGAAGATGGGTTCCGTATAAAGCTGGTTAAAATTACCGATAATCAACTTTTGTCTAAATAAACAAACCAATCAGGCATGTTAGCTTTACAATGGAATTTGTTAATATCTGTCCTGTATAATTTATTGTAATTTTATTAAATGATCTATTCATGTTGGTGTAGTTACCCATTCACATGTACATCATTCTAGTTGTGTTTTTTTTTAAGTATATAATATTTAAATACGGTAAATACTCATATATGCTCTCACCTTAGGTCATGAGGTTTGAACTGTGCTGACCTTCTAAAATGCTTGTACCTTCTGCAACTGATTTGGTAACGCCTAAATTTTTCAAAATACACAAAATCAAGGGATTAGATTGGCTTTCATGGTGTATTAACATTTAAGTGGTTTGTATTTGATTAGTCATATATATGGGGACGAGTTCAAATGAAAAACCGAGTTTCAGTTATGAACTGGGGATAAAGGAGAGCACGACACGTGTCCACAGGTTATTCATAATGAATAATGATTGAATGTGTATTATTCATCATGAATAATGAATCAATTTAACATGGATCATGGTTGTGTATCATTCATCATGAATAGTTCATGAACTTCACCTTTCGTTATTCATACCAAATGTGAACGTCGAGGACACGTATCGCGCTCTCCTTCGTCCTTTGATTTCACAGTCGAAAATCTGTTTGCAATTGAACCTTTATCTGTATATAATGAAGGGTATTGGAGATCGCACCTGCAGCAAAGGGGTTGTTTTCATTCCTGAAAGATGCAGAAGAAATCCCCCAAGATAACCCCAAGCTCAAAGCCCATGCTGTTAAAGTATTCAAGATGGTACGCCTTTCAATTCATCATCGAATTTAATTTCTTCAATTAAATCCAAATATTAATTAATTAATGGAAGACATGCGAGGCTGCGATTCAACTGAGGGAGAAAGGAGAAATCGTGGTTTCTGGTTCTACCCTCAAATGGCTGGGATCTGTTCATGTTCAAAAAGGAGTTATTGATCCTCACTTTGAGGTAAAATTTTTATTTACTGTTTATTTAATCATGGTGTGTGTGAGTTTATTTGTTCTATTTATCGTATATAAATATTATATACTTAAAAAAACAACAACAAGGGTTTCGTAAACATGTCTCTGACCTATAAATTTACGGACCACTAATTCCTTCATATTCCAAAGTTTTAAATCAAAAATCCAATTTGGAGTTGAAAATATTCCATTAAATTAAAAAAAAAATATATATATATATATATATATATATATTTGATATGATTTATTGATGAATGAAGGTGGTGAAGGAAGCATTGATAAGAACCGTGGAGAAGGGAGTGGGAGATAAATGGAAGGAAGATATGAAAGGGGCTTGGTCCGAAGCTTATGATCAGTTGGCTGCAGCCATCAAAGCCGAAATGAAACAAGACGTCGCACAAGAATCCAATACCTCGGCTTAATTTATTAAGACCGATTTAAAATTACAAGATAAATTATGATTATTGGTTGAATTATGAAATGTCAAATATGCATGGATGAATACAATATTTGTGTTTTTTTATTTAAGGGTCGTCTGGTAAGTGTTTACCTTATTGAATTAAAATAAGAATAACCAAGTATATACATGGTAAGAGCAATGATGATGATTGAGAATCCTATTCGATAAGTGAGGGTACGACTCTTACTAGGTTAGTGCTTACCATGTAATTTGTTATATATGATGCTATTTTGATGGACTATAATCTTCTATGGTAAGGTAAATAAAAGTGTTGACTTTTTCAGTAAACATTTATTGGGTAAACGTTTTGGATGAAACGACCCTTAGTAAAATCTTCATGGTGCCCTTCACATACTTTCTTTTTTTCTACTAACACAAAAAGGGTCCCCAAAAGATTTTACTAAGGGGTTGTTTATCCAAACACTTATCCGATAATCATTTACCGAATTAATATTATCTCAGGAAAAATTGTTACAAGAAGCTGTKGATGCGTTTGTGGCAATTGGTCATAAGAATGGAAACAGAAACCTCGACCCTCCGTTTAAGCCCCAGTCCTTGAGCCTACCCTAACGGGTTCGAGGGAAAATAATCTCTGACAGGTTTGGAGAACCCTTTAGATACTCAATTTAGTAAAAACCTTTAAATTAAGATTACAATAAATTGTCACTACATTAATCATCAATATGGAAAATTAAATATATTTGTCATTTAATAATAAATATATACACATATATATTTATTTATACACACATTATATACATATACTAAATAAAATAAAAAAATTAATTAGGGTTTAATTAAGGACGGATAATATCATTCCCGATCCTGCTCCATTCCCCGTCAAAGCAGGGAGTCTTGCCTGCGACTGCGAGTACCTGTTGTGTAAAATTTTCATCAGTTGACCATTTTTTCTTTCTTTTTTAATTGATCTTTCTTATATATTATACATCTATCGATTTCGATAATTTTCTTTTTGATCATTTTTGCAAATCTTTTTTACATGGATAGTAAAATAATTTTTTAACCTGATTTCATAAATTTCCATCTTTATTTAACAGATTTAATTTCTATTTAATTCAATAATTCAACAGATTTTAATTGAGGTAAAAACCAATAATTCATTATGAAAAAAAAATCCTAAAAATTGGTTAATGCTATTAAGAAATTTGATACTATTGTTTCAGTTATGCCTCTGATTGGATCAGTGGCTAAATCCATATATCTTGTTCAGTCAGTCGTCAAGCTAGATAGAGAACAATTTGTTTAATATTTCTTTTTCGATATTTGAACTATACCCAGTGACCTAACTCATTGATAACTCTACCAGCTACTTACCAATATATATTTTAACATATTCATCCATACGACCCTCATTCTTTTTTATTGTTGAAATGCTTTCAACCCCATTAACCCAACCTAAACCGTATGAATTGGTCGGATTAGTCGAGTTGATACTTTGGTACATTAAAATATTCTTGTTAACTTGAATATTATTGTTTTCTTTACTCATAATTCATTTTTCATCATCAATCTTTTGGTGTTGCTTATCCATACTTATTACAAGTATATCATATTCAACTACTTTTTTAATTTGCATATATACGTTCATATTTATTATATGAAGGAATTACATAGAGATGAAGTGGAGATTGAAGATATATGTATATGAAAATGGTACGTGATGGTGTAATTGTCTAGTATATATAATAATAGAGACTTAACAATCATATTAAATCCAATAAATAAAAGGATATCAGGTTTATCGGGTTGAGCTAAATTCAAATTACCATAACTTGATTCCAACCTAATATCTATGGTTTAAAATTTTTGCAATTTGATTAGACAGCAGATTAAATTATTTCATTCTCTTTAGTTAACTCATGATGCGAATCCATGAGGACCCATAAGCTATGAAGCTTAGAACCACGAGATTTCTATTAAACACACTTTTCGTTTAACAATGCATCGAATTTTTTAACTTAAAATGAAATTATTAGATATCATAAATAAATAGTACATGAAAAGATATTAAGTCAAAGACCTTCCAGCCTAGTGGTAAAAGTTTGGGCATGACATAGTCATAAACCCGAGTTCGAGCCTTGGGAGGTGAGTGTTGACAACATTTAAGTTGGGCCATGTTTAGCCTCCAAATTTGCCGGGGATTAGTCGGGCTTTGGCCCGGACACCTTTACAAAAAAGATATTAAAAAGAAAATGAAAAATACAACTAAGCATTAAACCGGGCTTGACAAGGTTCAAGATTGGGCCTAACTGGGCTATAACGCATAATTCGTTTTTGTGTTCGACCAATGTCTAATTCACAAACCTAATTGGGCTCATGATAGAAGCTTAATGAACTTAATAAGACATATAATTTATTCCGTCAGTTATATATGACTGTTTGGTAGCAAGTTAATGATAAAAGAATAGGTTTATTAAGTAAATTTTTAGGGGAAACTTTTTGTAGAAAGGCAAAAGAATCATAAACTGTCTCTCCCAATCAAAAAMATGTTTTTCCTTCTACGGAAAAACTTTATTAAACAAAAAATTTCCTAATCCGTATAGAAAGATTAATTTACACTGATAGAAAACTAACCAAGCAGCTTATTGCAAGATATTTTAGGATCGGTTTTGGTCTTTTAATCTGGGTTTATGATCAATCTCGGACCTGGAGTTATTTAGAAAGTAGAATTAAACAAAAAAGGGGTCAAAAAAGTGAAAAAAAAATTTTGGCTTAAACATTAATATAGTTGGCCAGTGAGAGATTGCATGTGGCAGCATAAATTGTCGAAATCATGACCACTCCAGTCCTTCAACCTAGGAACCCATAAAAACCCGATAAACTTAACCTAAAAATCATTCGATATCTAATCGAGTTGTAAAATTTTTGAACAGTAGGCATTCGATTAGAATGAGTTAAACTAATTTGAATCAAGCTCAACCCTGAAGTCAATACCTCTCTATATAATTTGTTATAAGCATCTTCTGTTAGACATGGTTGTCGCGGACAATTGTTTAGCTCTTTTCATCAGTAGTTTTACTTCTTATTTGCAAGAATCTTCAACTTTTTTCGTGATCTAGACCTGACTTTTTATTTGTTCCCTATGTAGCATAAAAAAATCAATTAACCAGTAGTAGTGACTAATAGCTATTTAAGTACGTTGTTGCAGTGTTGCTATTATGTTACAATCGATCAACCCAACTCATGTAAAACCCTACTAAAATTTGACTTTGAGTCATGTTTTAAATATTTTTTAACGAGTTAAGATTTTTCAAACCACACTAGTTGGGTTCAATAGCAAAAAATCTTCAAACCGACCGACCCAAGTCAAGCGCAACACTACTCCAGTCAAGTACATAACTTGTCATCTTAACCGATTACACAGTGTGTGGTTTTATTTGTATGAACGCTTGTCCTGGCCGATTACATATCGGTTAAATCGATCCCTTCACAACCAGATATGAATTGGCACAATTTCAATTAATTTCAACAGTCGTTAAGGACCGGTTACGTTTGCCTATCTCTGGTTAAGGTTGTGTCAAAATGTCAACCCTTGACAACAAGTAAAGGGAAGAAGAAAAAGCAGATCATGCAAAATTGCAAATACATATACTCAAATATCAGACAGGTGAAATCAATTAAGAATCCTGATAAAAATGAAACGGGAGAAAATTCATTCAAACATTATAGATTAAGATGATCCAATGGATCACTTAAAAAAAATACAAATATAACCCATTATTTTTTTAAATTGAAAATCGACAATACATAACCAAACGTAGTTTTTGTTGGATTTTATTTTTAAAAACCTTTAACTTAAAAATCAGACAATAAATTAAATTGTTGGGGGGTGTTTGAGATTGCTTATTCGAAACAACTTATGTTTTTTCTACAAAACACTTATCAACTTATTATAAGTTAGAAGAGTTTAACTTCTTCAAAAACTTCTTATTACCGGTTTGACACTGGTATAAGTTGTTTATCCAAACACTCAAAAGTGTTTATTATCGGCGGAATAAGTCAATAAATTATTTTTATAAGCAATCCCAAACACCCCATCAGATTAAAGTCACTTTAAAAACCAAAAACCAGACTCAAAATTTATTTCCGATATTAAAACCGATGATTAAACAAAACAAGTAGTGGGTTTGGTGGAAAAACACTTCCCACAACACGTAAAGTTATTAGTTTTTATTGATTATTATTAATTAAAACCTAATATTTATCCAAGCTAAAGATGTGATGACGGAGTTAAATCCAAAGTCAACTTGAAGATGCAATTGTAGGTTTTTTTGTTATTAACTTTATTTTTATTTTTATACAAAAACTAATAATATTAACTTTAATCTATACTATCTTATAAAGCATTTGGTTAAAACTCTTAAACTCGTTCATCCCTAAACGATTTCATCTCTATCCGATTTCATCCCATATATGAATTCGTGTAACTAACTGCAGATAAATACAATCAAATACAAGATAAACATCTCATTTTAAATATAAAAAATCTAAAATATAATTAG